CTTTATGGTTCTATGATCGCAAGCTTTCAGGTTGGTTCATCCTTAACAGAGACCTTGCTTTAGCTGGACGTCACTGCCTACCCACCGGGGCATTGCACATGACTATTCTCACAGCTGAAGCCCCTAGTTGTTCCTAAGAAATGTCAGTCATTCTTTCTGAGGCAACAAGTTCAGAGCAATTCCTGTCGTCATCTTAGTTACAGCCTGAGCTCTGCACTGGTCATTGGAGTAGGGTCAGATAAGCACAACGGACTCCTGAACGCATGAGCCGAGCACTGCAGTTCACTGTCATCTCGTTGCTGTGCTGGGAGCCTGTGCTGCAGTGTGCTGTGTCTCTATTTGCACGCAGCCTTGGTCAGATGCCTGGCACCATGCCGGCAGACTGGCCCTATTTCTATTTGTTGATAGATCTCTCTTACATCTGATACTTTGATTAATGCACATTGATTTCTCCTGTTTCTGCTTGGTGGAAAGGGTTCTCGTAGCAGCAGCCTAAGAACTGGTTTCCCTTGGAGGGGTTTCTGCATTAAATCCTCAGCATGTAAAGCTACAAACCAGCCCTGAGCACAACATATATTTTCAGGACTTGCTTTTCCCTGTCACGTAGTGGCTTTAAACGGCAAAATATTTTTGCAAAGACAAATTGCTTTGCAGGTACCATGCTGAGCTTCTGGAAAGGCTCCAAATGCACAGAGGGATTCAGAAAGATTCTCTGAGTCCCAGTCAACAAAGTGTGATAACCCCAAGCACTTATTTTCTGTGTATTAAAGCTAGAGAAGTGTGAAATATTGGCAACAAATTGTGGTAGTGTTTCAAACTGAAGGTGGTCACACTACCGAAGAGGGCTGGGTTGCAGCACCTTGGCTCTCCTATAACTGGGAGCATTTTTTTCAATATGGACAGGCCTCCTCTGAGCAGAAAACAGCTAAAATAGGACAGTTTTCCATCAAATATCATCTTCTACGCCAATATGAACTTCAGAATAAATGTCTGGTGCCACCTCAGGGCAAGATATTATTTTCACACTGAACAAAACCTTATGTTACAGTATGCTTGGAGATGCTTTGTCTGCCCCTGGCCCCTTTTCCCATCTCCAGAGCATTCAGTTGGTGAAGATGGAGGTGGAAATGCCTGCAGTGGCACAATCTCACCTCTTTTCCTGGCAATAGAAAATCTGTGGTTGTTCTCCTTTGCTGTTACTGGAATGCCAGAAATTCCCTGCTGGGAAGAACAGTGCTGAGCTCTCTTTCTCCTGCAGCACTGGGTTCTTCACTTCTCTCCCTTTTACCTGTCTCAAAATTCCCTCAGTTAAAAGCAGAGGATTTTTAACCTTTTTCTCTCCAGAAGTGGAATGGAATCTAATCCCCTACATGTGGGTTAAACTGCGTGTTATTTATTGAAATCAGCAGCTCTACAAAGTTAGGTAAGAAGTTGCTTTTCAAGGCCCTGGGTGGCTCTAAACATTATTAAACGTGGTCATTAGAACATGCTTTTCCAACCATTGAATGGTTGTGATCATTAAATATTTTGTTTTAATAAGTGCTTGCTTTTTCAGCTGCTGCATGGCCTTAATCGTTTTTTTTTCCTCATTAAAAACTGTTGATTTTCCAGCTCATGAGCCACTGAAAATACTGTTCTGTGTTTTTTTTCTCTCCCTCTCTTTCTCTCTTTTTTAAATTCACTGATCAGTTTATTTTTATTTTAAAAAAGAAGTGAGGGTTTTGGAGCCTTTGGCTAAAATAACTTGTTTTCAGCTACTAGGACAAGTATAGGGCAAGGCTTAGGATAACATAAAATCAAACCTGGCTTGTGTGAACAAGTTCCATTGAGATAAGAACATGCAAACTATCCAAACATCAGCAGATTGTCTTTTCTGTGTGCTCTGAAAGGCCTGATGAATCACACTTCTGAGTGCCAATTTTCCCACTTGCCAATCAGGCTTGTCCTATTGTGTCATCTGAATAGATTCACAAGGCAAAATATGAAGCAACCATAGGGTCAGAAACAAAGCGTGTATGTTTTGGATTCAGAATGCGGATGAGAAGTGTGACTTAAATTTCATTGTTTTTTTTTTTTTTTCCTTTTTTTTTTCTTCTTTTTTTGTATAAGGAAGACCATGCTATGTTGGAAGAAAAGCAAATAGGAGGAAAGGTCTTTTGCTAAAGCATTACGCTGGAAAAATCTACTTCTGCTGCGTGCTCGTTGTATGGCCATGAGCAACTCATTTGTACCATGATTCTGTAGCCTACCTGTATACATTAGAAACTGTTTGCGATGCTCTAGAAGGCCTCCAGGTCCCCTTTCCAGGAAGGAAACCCTTACAATGTCCTCTGCCATTCCTGCTGCCACGGGTTCCTGATTTTCGTAGTGGTTGTGATGGAGGAAGAGACATAGCAAGGAAGGCATTTGACATGAAGTGGCCAGTGTCTTGCTCAACTGAGGAGCTCTCCGTAGGGAGTGCCAGTGTGGCAGCCTTCCCCTGTGGCTGGGGCATTTGGCTTTCTGCAGCTTCTAAATCACCCACTTGGAATGCACTGTGCATCAGCCTGGAAGGGAGTCAAACCGTTTTATGAAAGCTGCAATTAGTGGCTTCCCACAAATAGCATCCAGCACTGACAAGTGGCTGCTCTGTAATGCTGTTTATGGGCTTGTTTCAGGTAATGGAATTTCATTGCCTTTCAGGTGCTCTCGCCACAGGAAGCACATATATTTTTTCAGCTCTGTGATTTTTTCCACTAAATTGCGCAAATCATTTTATTTGGGCAAGTGCATTGGAAACGTTTTACTCGGCATTTATTTTGTAGCTCAAGTCCTTCTTAAAGGGAAGAATAAATATGTTCTTGAGGGCGAACAACTGAGTTGGGAAAGAGGAGAGGGAACAGAAACAATAGGGAAACAAAACACTTTTTCTCCTATCATAAGTTGCTATGTATGCACTGACTTTGTGTATCTGTGCTGATTGGTGATGAATGTATCCAAATTCTTCCTTTTTTCATCCCTGCACTGTGTCATCTTCTAGCAGAAGTGATGTTGGGGTCTTCTGGACATGTGCATGCCTACCCTGGGAGGCCTGACTGAAGTGTTGCAGAAGTTTCCCAACTCTCCTACTGCCTATTTAAATACAATTGCTGTCTTTGTTGAAATTGAGCAAATCACATGTAGAGTTCAAATCATAGAGTCATTAAGGTTGGAGAAGACCACTAAAATAATCTAATCCAACCAATCAAGTCATCACCACCATGCCCACTAAATGATCTCTTTAGCTTTATTGGATGGTTGCGTTGTGCTGAATGTGGAAACAGGAGGTAAGAGTGAGTCATGCTGGTTTTGGTCATCTTGTGTAGTTTGAAGGTTTACCCGGGATGAAACATAGCATCAGCCATCCTCGGGATCTCCCTGTGTGGTCTGTGCTTAGCAGAGTCCTGCTGGGCTGGCTGACTGGCACTTTATAGGAAAATATCCCACATGAATAGCAGTGAAAAGAAAGTCAGTGAGATGAGATCGCTTACGCTGAGCCTGTTATGGCATGGTTAGGCATAAAGCACATTTTTAATGACATTTTTAAGTGTCATACTGCACAGCATCCTCTTCTGTTCGTGACCCTTGCTGAAATCACAAGCATCAAAGGGGAGATAAGGCCACAGACCCCAAAAAACAGGTGAATCAAAGGTGACGTAGTCGCTTCAGGGGGGTAATGTGAAATCAAAGTTGCAGAAAACCGGGGCTCCTAATAGGATAATACAGGTAATACTATCACACAGCACTAAAACAATATAGGACTAATTAGCTCAAATATTTGCTGACTATGTGGGTTTTGAGGGAAGGGGGGGGATATGTGCTTTTATAAAACTTAATTAACCCATAGAATAAATCAGTTTCATTCATTGGCACAACAGAACCAATCAAGATAGGCTTACTGTTTGCTCATTTGGAAAGCGATTAGGATTCTCATTTAGACTTAATTACAGTGCAAAGGTTGACAATTATCATCTTTGTGGAAGCACTGGATGCCACAGTATCTCAGTTGAACATGTGCCTATAATTATACACATCATTTTCTTAGTAGAAAATGTAACCCACTTATTACCTGGGTCTCATGCCTGTAATTAGAGATAGCAGTAATAAAAAAAAAAATGGAAGAAGTGGGCTGGTGCTGAATTGTTTTGGATCTTTCCTTAGCAAATTGCTTTGTGCAACTCTTTGTCACAAATTAAAATCTCATTTTGTCCTTGGTACTTTTTATGAAAGAAAATCTGTTGCCATGCCAAGAACCCAACCTAACCAAACGAGTCATATTTTCACACCACAAAAAAACCCCACAGCCTCAGATTGGTCTGGTACATAAACCCTTCCTTACAGCTCCCTGAAGTTCCTCGTGTTACACAGACATGTATTTATCGCCCAGGTCATTCCAGAAGCAAGCTGTTGAGAGAAACTTGGTCACTCTCTTTGGAAAATCACAGCTTGAGCTGAACCAAAGCTGAATAGACTTAGCCTGTTGACCAAAATAAATGACATTAATCTTAAAGTTCTCAAGAAGTGCTTGACTGCAGTCATGTTTAATGCAGCCAAAACCAAATGATGAGCAGGTTGAGGTTCCCCTTACCCCTTGCATCCAAGGGCTGCTTTGCAAGTGTGTCAGCTCAGATAAGGGAAAAATAAAGCTCAAAGCATTTCACAGAAGCTAATTACAGATAAGGCAGGAGGTAAGATGAGGTTGTAAGAAACCTAACCTTGCTTCAGTCAGTTCTGTTGCTGTCTGTGGCACTTTTTTTTTTTTTTTTCTTATCCTGTGGGCTTGTATAGAAGTTGTGGGTGAGTGCCCTTTGCAGGGAGCATCAGTGGTTTGGTGTAAGACCAGAAACTGAACAGCTATCACAGCCACATAGCAAACTTTATTTGCTCCTTCCTCTTGTTCCAGCTGCATTTATTTCAAAGCCAGAATGAGAGAAGTGGCAGAATGCAGGGCTTTGACTTTCTTGTGCTTGTTTCTTGCACCACGTCTCATCTTAGGATAATACCTGAACCTTCTGGGAAGAACAGTGGACGCTGGGACCAGGACACAACTTTTCCATCAGCAGCATTTTGGCTACTTACCAACTGAAATGGTGAGTTTGCCTCACATGTTTCCAAGGTTTCCGAGGGATAAAAGAAAGCATAGATTTTTCCACCTGTATATGCTTTTTATTTTCCACTGTTGATGAAGAAAAACTTTATCAGTATTTCTTCCTTTTACTCTTGCCCTTTTTCTTTTTAACACCACCACTTTCCTGCTGAAATGAGCACTGCCTTGTCAGTTAAAAAGAATGAAAAGCACCTTTATCAGGTCAGATCATCACTGTGACAGTAGATAGTGTCAGCAGGACTCCAGGGAGCTCATTTCCATAGCCGGTTTCTGCAGAAAGGCAGCTGAGATGCTGCAGGCAGAAAGGTGTTTTTGTTGGTTCTCCAGAAGTGCTAACTTGTGTTTGCATTCCATTTTCTTCTGAGGCGGAAGAAAACAAAGTATTCCTAGGACAAAGGGGGAATGGTTTTAAAGTGAAAGGTTGGATATTTAGGTTAGATGTTAGGGGAGGAAATTCTTTACTCAGAGGATGGTGAGGCCCTGGCACAGACTGCCCAGAGAAGCTGTGGGTGCTCCATCTGTAGAGGTGCTCAAGGCCAGGCTGAATGGGACCCTGGGCAGCCTGAGCTGGTGGGGTCAACCAGCCTGTGGCAGGGGGTTGGAACTTGATGGGCTTTAAGGTCCCTTCCAAGAAGAGTAAGTCCTTAAAGTATTAGAGGTATTTGTGATGCAGAAAGCCTTTGCTTTTATTTTGTTTATCCCCTTCACTGGAGCTTTATTTAGCACCACAGAACTTGCATGGTATCATTGTGTCATTTTGAAACAGCCAAGAGACTGGCACAGGCTGCCCAGGGAGGTGGTGGAGTCAACATCCCTGGAGATGTTCAAGGAATGTGGATATGAAGCAGTGAGGGACGTGATCAGTTATCATGGTGGGGGTGGGCTGGGGTTGGGCTGGATGATCTGAGAGGTATTTTCCAATGTTAATGGTCTTGTGATTCTACTGGCTCCCAGCTGCCTGGCAGCCAAATCTCATTCAGATGTATGCAGAAAACCCTTCTCATTTTATAATGCCAGGAGTGCTTGGTGGGACTGAAGGAGGGCTTCCATGTGTCTCTTCAGCTGGGAGCATCGCAATCACTCCAGACAAGTTGGGGCAGGGCAGACGTGCCCCAGCTGCAGTTCTCAGTGCAGGATGGATGAGCTTTCTTTTGAACTCCTGAACTACAAATTTCCCTCCTGGCCAAGCAACCGTAGTGGGTAGGACAATGGGGAGAAGAAAGGGCTGCTCAGCGAATGAAATACCAGTAGGTGTGCGTGTGTAGGTGGTGGGAGCAGCTGGCTTGCCAAACCCACTTGGATTCATTCCACCTAACTGAGTGCAGTTGGGAAACCTGGCAGGGCGAGGTTGCTGGGTACCTGGAAAAGCTCATTTGGAATGCTTGGTATCTCCAGCTCCCCACAATTAAGTGATTAGTTGCGATGGGCAGAGGTTTGAAGAAACATGGTGAATTGAGAAATATTCTATGTTGCTTGAAATCTAGGCAAAACAGTTAAAAATGAAAGAAAGTAATACAGAGCCCTAGGAGAGTAGAATCCTTGTAACAGGAGGAAGCAGGAAATGAATGGAGTAGGGATTTGTTAGCAAACATCAGTCCAGGCCAATTCATTGCTTCATGCAGAACAAGTCGTGCCACTTCAGTGTTTATCCACCACAGGAGACCCAGGTAAGAAAACAAACAGGCGGAGGAACTTGCTGGCACATGGGCACTCACTTGTTATCAGGCTGCACAGGCATGTGAAATGTCAGGCAGGAGGTGCACTGCTACACATAGTGCCTTCCTTTACTGTGAGCAGCATCAAAATCCTACAGAGGGATTTGTAAGGGTTCAAAAGCCAGAGCTGTAATGTGTGGATGCAGGTTACTGGCCCAGGGAAGATGGGCAAAAAGATTCAGGAGCAAAGAAACTGTTGGATTAGATGATCTTAGTGGTCTTTGCCAACCTTAATAACACACTGCATGCTTCATAGGGGCACATTTACACCAACCTAATCAATCAGAAACCTGGGGTAACATTTGTTTTCCTTCCTCATTCACCTTCAGTATCATTTCTGTTTATTTCTGAAGTTTTATGTCTGCCCCAGCCCTGTTACTATAACATTTCTGAATCACCTTTGGAGAAGGAAGAAGTTAGGGATGGTCAATATGAGTTTTGGAAAGCACCTAGATTTTGCATCCTTGCATGGTTTCAGCCCATGTGAGCCATGCAATTACTTTCTTTGTGACTCTTGGAGAGACAGTCTCAGAGCTATCTGCTTTTCACAGGTTAACAGTATGGGAAATAAGAGAAGTCTATTTCTTGTTACAACACTTCTGAAGGTTAAGCCTGAAGCAGAGCATACTTGTTGTTTAAAACTGCAACAGTAAGTTCTGAGACAGCTGTAGTCTTACACAGATATATAAGAAAACTGTTAGTTCATTATTGCCATCAATCTGATACGGTCTATCATACTGTAATTATTAATTGGGCTATTCAAAGATGTGAGTGACTTCAGCTTGGCAGTTAAAACCTCTTGCATTGAAGCACAGCTTTGGGGACTAAAAGGAGGTGTTGGATGCACTCACCTCTGAGAAGGATGGGTGTTTGCATTAAGTGAGGATAAGATGCGCTGCCTGAGTTCACGCTAAGCCCTTCAGCAGAGTGACTGGAAAATGGCTTTGAGAATTCCAGGTAGAGCTTATGCAAAAAATTCATCCAAGTACCCAGAACTAAGCAATCTCTCTTTTGATACAGTGTCCACTGTATTAGTGAGCTGTAGAGCCAGAAAATTAAAGGTGAACTGGCCCCGATTGGTTTGGCTTTGGTGTTCAGGCTTTTTGAGTGCCTTGCTTTAAAAGAAGCTACGAAAAGAAGTGCTATCTGAATATTCTGATAACTCACAGGCATCTGAAAGTAGGATGCTTGCTCTTTGCGAGATACTTCCTTGGGAACTGGTGCTAGGATGTCATGCAAAGTGAATCTGGCAGCAGTGATTCGGAGCAGAGTACAAGTGCTGAGCAGGTTTGGGATGGCTCAGCACTTCTGCTGCAGGAGGAACCTTCTGTATTCCTATCTGATCTTTACACTAAGATCCAGAAATACCACTAGGACCAATATGGAATATTATAAGAAAATAGCACTAAATCATTAAGGGTTATATATGGTTTAGTGACAGGACTCAGTAGGTCAGGTTGATGGTTGGACTTGATGATGTTGAAGGCTTTCTCCAGCTTAAATGATTCTATGCTGAGCAGTTGGGGGCCTGCAGAACTCATCCAAGGATGTTATTCAAGGGGATGTGATAACTCACCTCAATCACCCTCCCAGCTCTTTGCCATGTGTGTGTGGTGGTGCTACACAATGATCAATAACTTGTGTCCAAGGCCTTTGAACTCTCCCTGAATGAAAATTTGGAGGCGACCATTCTGAGTCACACCTGGTTTGGGCGCAGATGTCTTCTTGTGGAAGCGAAATGAATATCTGATTTGTTCAGCAAGGAAATATGTTTTAAATCTCAGTGTAATCTGACTCCCTGGATCGGGAGAGATAGTGCATGGTTTCTGAGACAGAAATATATCCCATTCTTGAAGTGGCTGGGAGAAAGCAGCGATCTGTGTGGGAAAGCCAGAGAAATGGCAGGAGGGAAAAGAGAAATTACATGCATTAGTGGTTTATGCCTTCCAGACATTTACAAACTCTGGGTAACGCAACTCGAAGAGAATTGTAGTCATTCCGAGGAGGCTGCATGATTTAAGAGGATGTAAGGGCTGCAGTTTGCTCTATGGTTTAATCTACAAATAAAACTCCCATCAGCCAGTTGAATATCTGGAAGAAATTTGGGGCTGCATTTTTTGGAGCATAGGCATTAATAAAGGATTGCTTTATTGCTTCAGTGACCTATCACCTTCGTACTGTCTGGCCCAGTGCTGCTTATGATACAGAGAGGTTAATGTATAAAACATACCACAGCTTCAACAGGTTTGGGGGAAACAAAGTCAGCCTTCTGTTGTTGCCCTTGTGCTATTTTTTACATGTCATTGGTCACTTTCTGTTACATACTTTAGAGACCATTGACTCCATCCATTCTCCCTTGCTGGCACACTATCTGCCTAACTGTCCTTTATCAGCTCAAGATCTAATTAAATTAAAGCTCTGACAGTCACATGTCTCTTACCTGCTTCATTCAGTGATATCTTTCAGGTCTTCTCTTATATAGCTGATACATACTAAAAGCTCCTGGGGTTTACTTTGTTTCATGCATACTATTATCTAGGGTTGGAATAAGCTCTTTTAGCACTCTTCTTAATAGTGTGTACTGTGTTTAGCTTTTCTCCCCTATTCCCTTTCACTCTTTCCTTCTGCTTTCCATATTTTTCATGTTCCGAAATATTATTTCTTTTCTAAAGATAAAACATCTATCAATATAAACAAAATCCTCCAGTCCGCACTGTGATGAACAACAGATGAGAATGACAGCAGTGAAAAAAAATATGTGTTTTTTTTCTCCTGTGTTGAAGGATATCTGTAGAAAACAGAAAAATCTGGAGCTGGGATGAGCACATCAGTCTACTGAAGGTTTAATTTTTATCCTTATTTTATTAGGAGGGGGAAACAGAGGCACAGTGACTTGCCCAGATGAATCAGACATTCAGCCTCAGCAGATGTGCTGGCATGAATCTGGCGTCTTTCAGAAATACCAAGACTCATTTTGATTGCAAAATACTTACTGAAGTTCATTATCAGGGAGTCTAAAAGGAGGCTCGTCCGAGAGCTGGTGGTTTGAGGCTGTTTTGAAGTAAGGGAAAGTAGATCATACCCCATATTTCCATCAGACCGTGAGCAAGGGCCCTGAACAATCAAATTCAGCCCTTTTTTTGCCCTCTGTGCCATGCTTTGCATCTTTGTGCCATTCTTTACATCTTTGTGCAGCTCTGGGAGAGCACTTGAGCCAACGAATGCTGGAGTCAACAGCTCCGTTTACTCTGCAAGCACTTAAGAAAGCAGGAAGCAAATGTATTCTATACAGCACCAGAAAGCAATGTAAAACTTTTCAGTTTGCATAAATTGCAAATACACCGGAAGCAGCTTAGCCAAGGCAGCAGAGAAATCAATACAGGCTGTGAAATTAACTTCAGAAGCAGAGTGAGCATTGGGTCGCGGCCCCATCATTGTCTGCTGCTTCATAAGCTCTGGAATAAGAGGGGAATGCAGTGCCCAGGGTGCCATCAGGCAGTGCTCAAGAAGGCTTCCAGATCTCCTTACATAGGATCCAGAGCCCAAACGCATTTTGTATCCTAGAAAATCACACAGGGGAGAATCTGTGCTGTTATCAATAACATATGAGGCATGCAGAGAATAGCTCACAGGATTTATCTTAGCAGCTTGCTCTGATTTTATTACAGATAAGGTTGCAGGTTTTCTTTATTTGAACAATTTGAAAATCAGCTTGTTAAATAACATTTTTTTTTAAAAGGAGGGAGAGAAACCACCTAAATTATTTTCATTGCAAACATTTTCTAAAAAATGCCTTGCAAAACATACCTCTGCAAAGCCAGCACAGGGCTCGGGATGCTCCGACGGTAGCCAAAGCAAGCAGCAAAACATGTGAAAGCCTCCAGACTGCTTCCAGGGTTTTGTTCCACTGCCAAAAACCAAGACGTACACTCACAGCATGAGGCAGCAAACTTCTCTGGCTTTGTGTGCTTGCACATGAGGTGGATTTAACACGAGAGACTCACGCTCCCCCCACATCCCCCATTCTATTCCTCCCTTAAAATCTTGGTTTAACAACTAAGAGAATAATATGGAAGTAATTCCCGATCTAGTGGTGCCAAAAGCAGATGAAACAACTTTGCCAGTTGCAGCACATATTGATCAAACCATCTGTGCTTGTAAACCCTTTGGAAAGACCAGTTTCAGTGCGTTTCATCAGGTCGCTTCCAGCTTGGGCTTGGGACTTGTTGGGTATGGGGAGATCTCTGATGTGCTGTGTGTACCTCCTTGGGCTTTTTAGAACATAGGGTCAAGATGCCAGAAGAACAAGTGGTTTGTGCTCAGAAGGAGCTGAATAGGTACAGGTGCCTTCCTGGTTAGTACCTGACTTTGCAGATATTTAGAGTCAGGGCAATGACTTGAAGCGTTCATCTCTGGAGTGAAGCTGTTATCATCAGCTATTTAAGAAAAAAATGGTGATTTCAAGATGGTTGTTAATTGTCTTCAGGATAAGGAAATCGACTACCACTTCTGGCTGCAGGGGTTGAGTCACTTAATTGCTGCCAAATCATTGGCATTTGGGAGCCTGACAGGGACGAGAGGTAGTCAGCCACTCTTTGGGAATATAAACTCCTGCATGCAGCAGCTCCTGTTTGCTCCCATTCCCTTACTCTGGAGGAGCTGAACTGCTGGGGACTGATGCGTTTGCACTTCTGTGATGCCCAATATGTCTCTGACCTTCAGGGACACTTTGAGGGATGCTGTCATGGGGCAGCTACGAGAGGTCCCCTTCCCGATTCTTGTTTCCCAGTTCACCCTAAGGCTGGAGATACCCAGAGGTTATGCAACATGGCTGAGGAAGATCCTCAAGAAGCCTGTCCAGCAGGTAGTGTGTCTGATAGCAAACATGCATTCTTAAATCAATATGGGTGGAGATTGAGCCTCTCAGTGAGAAATTTTGATCACCCGTGTGTGATAATCTCATGCGCAAGTGTCAATATTTGTAAGGCCTATGGGTTCAGTTTCAAAGTAATGGTGAAAAATTTGCCCCTTTTTATTTTGCATCACTTAAAAAGAGTTGTGTGACTCCCTAGAAGGTTGTCAGCTCTGATTAATCAACCTTTAGGAATCATCAGGTAGAATCCTGGCACAAACTAATCCTTGAAAGCCTTCATTTCAACTGTCTTCTGCTCCAGTTTTGATTATGCATCAAAGCAAACAGCAACACTCGATCATCTGCTCTTCTTTGCTTAAATGGGTCGTAAGAGATTTTATTAGATGATTAAGGGATTCCTGAGGGCTTATTTGGGGAATGGCTTCTGTGGGTCTCCTACTTCTGCAGGAGTGAGAGCAAGTTACAGAAGCTGGAGATGGGGAGAGGCTGGAGCTGGCAGGGGCTGGGAATCTTGGATGAGAAGAGGAGCACCTCGAGGTTATCACCACTCATAACACTCTGTGGTCAGCCTAGGGCAAGGGAATCTATTATCTCAGATTTCTCTTTGCCCAATATTTGACCCAATTCCAGCCTTCAGCTGTTCAGCTTGTTACATGCGGCTGTTCAGTCTGAGGAGATAGGCAGAGTTCAGTCATCTTTGCTTTGGAGTTGAATAAGAAAGTGCTGGGTCTCTCACCCATGCTATCTCTACTCTCTCTCTCCTAACTCCACTTCTTTTTCTGCTTCTGAACAAAGAGCTGCAGATACAGATCACAATCCAGTGCCAAGAGAAGCTGTCTTCCCAGCATGTTCATGCATGTAGAATATTTCCCAGAAGCAAATGCATTTTTCTAATCTCAGGATTTTGCTTTGTGCACTGAGATCAGATCTTGAGCAATAGAAATTCCCTGCCAGATTTCCCCTTTGCTGTGTACAACTTCTGCATATCAAAGGTATGAAGGACAGGAGTCGTCTGTATAAAACTGATTTGTTAGAACCTCTGAAACCAGGTCGCATTCACATGACATTGCAGGTGAGCAGCATCAGTTAGCTGTAGGATGGTATCACTGAAGGGCATTTCTCATGTTTAATATCTGAACAGAGCCAGGAATTGGAAGAAAGATGTTAAATAACCAATGATAAATTGGGGGTATACTGATTTTCACCAGGTATGAAGCATCAAACGAATTCTTGGTTCTATTTGATCAGCTTTGAACCTCACTGTTGAATATTCAGGATTTTCAGATATTCAAAACTTGGGATTTAAAAGATTTATTAAGGTTAGTGCTCGGAGCCATTCTGTTCCACAACTGTTGAAACCACTCTCCTGTTTTCATGTTGTATTTGTATTTCCATGGTGCCCAGAGGATACTGAAACTGCCAGACACAGTGGAATGATGCACAAAACTTTGAGCCATCAAATTGCAAAGACTTTTAAATTGCCACTATATTTCAGAAGCAAACTCCATACCCTTCAATCTTCTTTCCAGCTGTATGGCATAACACTAGATACTTCATCACATTCTCTGTTAGATTTGCTTTTTATTAAAACAGAGGGCTTATCTTAGTGCTGTGCTACTGCCACTGCATAAATTCGTAAATTAAATCAGTGGAAATAAACAGATGTCCATATGCTGAGATACAAAGCAAAGGAAAAGCAAAAATAATTCAGCATCATGAATCCAAGCATTTTATTTGCTTGCTTTGCTGAGTAAGCTGCTGGTTCTGACCACAGGATTTCAGTCCTGGAGCCTTGAAGCAAAGAGTGAGTGGTAAAGTTGAGCTTCTTTAGAATGGCCATGAGTCAGACTGGCACAAATACAGAGAGCTGAATCATGCTCCTGAGCTTGTATTCATGTTGTTAAAAGCAGATAAAAGGAATCTTTCAAAAAGGGATAAAGAAGAGATGTATGAGGAAGGTGCAGTGATAGTGATAACTTGAGATGTTTCTTAGATGTTTTTTGAAGTGCAAAGTATTAAGTTGGTCAGTGATGGAATGGGATAGGCAGAGTTATGGGTTCTTGGGAGTTTACATTGATCTAGAGGAAAATCAAATGTAATGAAGCACCTGTACAGTCTGCCTAAGGCAGATCTGCAGGTCTGTATATAATGGTGCATTTGGTCAAAGAAATAGATCAACTTAACAGCAATCCCTGCCCCCAGCATTTGAGTCTGCGTGCCTATATGGATGTACTCACTCAATGCTATTTATGCATGGAATCATCCTGTGAGCAACCTGAAGCCTTCAACAGCAACCAGTTATTTATGAAGGTAATAAATGGGCATAACTCTTTATTCATTGCAGGTATGTCTGTGTCTGGATGAGATGGAGAGCAATTTACAAATGTCATCCACACAATGGAGGTGGAGAAGAAGCCGTAGAAGATGACACCCAACCAGAAACGTGCTGCAGTTTTGTCGTGAATATCCAGGAAGTCTCTGTGGTGCAGATGTGACAGCAACAGCAGAACTTATTTCAAGGTCCCGTCCCATGAAGAAGCTGTGAGTATCAGCAACCACACAAAAGAGCTAGCAGGGGGGTGGGGAGGGCAGAGTCTTGAAAATGACAAACATCATCTGTCTGTCCTGGGGGAATGTGGTAACTATTTGTGGATCCCACTGCCTAAACCTCATCAAAGAAAGAGCGTAGCACTGCTATCTATTGTTACTCTCTGTGTGTTGTTTTTCCTTCCCATAAATGTTTCCAGCATATTGGCTTATAGTACCAAAACCCTGCAATTCTTAGAAAGTGTTGGTTTGCTTTGTCAAGCAGAGTCATGAATGCGAATATTCCTGACTTCTGAGACAGAAGGATTTGTATGAGTGGATGAAGCACAATAGGATTATTATAATGCTCATTACCAGAGGAACTAGCTTCAGTTTCATCTGCCTGCTCTTCGGGTCCTTCATAGGCCTGGTAGAATGGCTTTGTTGGGAATGGAGAGCATCAAGAACTGAGATGCCTAAGAGCTGACATGCCTAACAGCTGCTCTGTTTGGGGTAGGATCTTTCTGTAAGTGTGGGGGTTACTTTACTTTTTTACTTAGTGTCATTGTGGGGAACTGATCAACCAATGGTTCCTTTAGGCTGGAAAAATAAGGAAGTTACCAGCAGAGATGTTGTGCAGTAACCTCTAAACACAAGTAGTAGTGACAACATCTGGACTGTTTTTTAAAACATAGATCAATAAATTAATGAGACACCACTGCCAAGGATCTCTAGTGATCCTAATTAGTGTTAATAGTTTTACAGGAGATTGTAAGCCTGATAAGCATTGAAGACAATTTCACTGTATAGGTCTGGGATCTGTGTTGTCTTCTAATATATAAGCAGTGTAATTATACTGGAAAAGAAGAAGGGAGCCAATACAGTTTCAGGATATTTTCATTAATACCTTATCCAGTTTTTATAGAACCCTACTGGTTTCCTTCCTCTTAAACACTTCAAGATTTTCTTCCATAAAGGGTTGTTTTGAAAGCTAAAAAACATTCAGGGGGGTGAAGGTGGCGAAGCAGCCAAAGGTGTGTGATAAATTCATGTAATTACTCAGGTTTGCATTTTATCTCAGAAAGATCCCATTTGTACATGCTGTGAATGCATTCATATGTGGTAATAATGGCAGTATAGTATCAATGCAAACAAAGATGGACACACGAGCACCAGCTGAGATGTGTACTATTTCTGCATTGATGTGCTGCATTGTCACATATGTTTCCATGCTGGTAAAATGAGGCTTTCATGCTATTTTTATACCAGACTTTCCTTTCACAGGACAGTTGTTCAACTTCCCACTCCCTCTCTCCTCCTCCTTTTCACCTCTGGCTGCACTCCACATGTGCCTGGTATTGCTGGGAACATCCAAAATCACACTTAGCAGGACAGGTATGGAAGGAAAGGGATTGTTGTTTTCTTACACCTCTTTTTCATACAAACCTGCAACTACTACTCCGGTTGCTCCCACCAACCATTTCTCCTTACTGAAGGACTCAGTCTGGCAACTTCAATCTGCTGAAATTTCTGCTGGTAAAATAATTAACCAGACTTCTTGTGTTGGCCCATGCTTCTGGTCCTTCCCTATTGAGCAGTCCTCAGTCACAGTGAACTTTTTTCCTTTAAAGCCCAATATACCTTGCCCTGTTCAATTCATGCTTTTAATCCCAGTCTTATCCACTTTGATCCTCTGCTCCTTTATTTGAGCTGGAAGTAACAGCTCTTCATTTCACTCTGTGCTAGTCATCCAAGTTCTTAAGGGACCATTCCAGTAAGACATGCCATTCTCCTGAAGCAGAGGTGTGGCAGTGGTTTCTGTTGCTCATCCATACCTTTGTATAGATGCTTACTGAGCAAGGACCTCTCTGTGAAGGGGATAATTGTCAAAAAATCAGCAAAAAGGACCCTGTGGTTGTCATCTTCAGGCTTTGATGTTTCCTGTGATTCTCAGTAGTTCAAGTAATGTATATAGCAGCTTCTTCACAAATTAGTTTGGGGTACACATTTATGGCCAAAAGTCAAGTGAAAACAAGCAGAGACTAACGGATCAAATGTGCAATAGCATAATGTACTTACAGACTGACTCCTTTGCAATCAGATTCAGATAGAAGTTTTGTGAAAGACCTGTAATGTCTGGGGAGCCCCACCTACCTACAGCAGATGCTGTTTCCTCCCACTTGTGTTTTTATACACTCTAATAAGGACACTGAAAACACTCAAACTATGGAAGAAAATATTGTTTTTTTCTTTAGATGTAAGATAAACAACATTCAGCCACAGCAGCTTTCAACTTTTGTTTCCTTTTGTTTTGTCTCTTGCTCAAAGCAATGAGAATAAAACATGCTGTCTCAGTTAGGCATTTCCTGACTCAGTACCAAACAAAACACAGCAGTGACTTTCTGTCGGCAGTTACTAGAAGCACAGAGGTGCCCTTGCACTAGGTGCAGAATGTTCACAGCTAGATGCATGTTGTCTACAGAGCAGCCTGGCTGGAAGCACAGACACTGGAAAGGACTTCACAGCAACATTCATAATTCAGTCAGTGATAAAACGACGACTACACTTCTGTATCAGATTTCCAAATCATGTCAGGTCAGCAGGGTAGTTTGAAGACCATCTAGGCTTTGGTTGCACGGTTTAGAGGAAGCAAATGCTGTACCAGTGTTGTCAATGGATGCTGCTGTGTATCCTTGCCCTTTTACAAGACTGACTTCGTACTCCTCCAAGTGTTTATTTTGCTTTTTGATAATACTGTACAAAGACTCGGCTGCTCACATTTTTATTAATCTTACACTTCATCTTTCCTCATCCCGATGTCCTGGTTAGAATTTCATGGTGAGAGATGGAGGTAGATTGAAGATTGAACTGTACTTTGTTAGAAGCATTACCACCTTAGGTAAGAGACACAATGTCTCTGTGTTATATCCACGACTTAGTGGCTTTCCAAACAACTGCTTCTGTAGAACACTTGGTTGACACAAACAGTTCTGCATAGCAGAAAAGAGGTGGGATTTTTTGGTAGATTTACTCTGCTGCACCTTCTGAGGCATTCAGTTTCAGCTTTCATTTCTCTACTTAGTGGAAGAAAGGATTAGACAACAGAGTAACTACAGGACTCTGTAAATATTTGGTGAAGACAGGCAAGTCTTATCCAACATCTTTGACTTCGTTAGGAAACAGGGCAATGACTTTTCTCTGGAAGGGATTACAGTAAGTCCAGAGATTGGACTGGAAAGGTGGAAGGGAGATATGTTTTCTGTTTGCTCACTTCACTGAAGGACACAGCCTCTTTTTAAGCTGAAGTTTTGACAGTATATGGGCCCTGCAGTCTGAGGAGACTGGCTGTGTCTAAAAAAATCCTATGCCATCTGTCATTCCTTCCATACTCTGCATATTTGAGCAGGAGAACACAATACGTGTTTCTTCAGTGTAAGTTCAGCTCCTTTATTCAAAGCCACCCTCAGATGGAGTGAGATTGTTTCTAACTGTTGTATACTGAACCCGCTGGAAGTGTACTACAGTAGTGTAATTTGTTTCCTTTCATTCTTTGCAGACAAAGATTCCCTTGGTAAGCTATAACAAGTGCATGGGATAGTTTCTGTAAAATGGCTTTTCCTCCTTACTTCTCTTTATATCGCCTTTGGCGATTTCAAACCTTCAGATACAGCTGCAGCCTGCACTACTGAAGCAAGACTTTAACTGAGCACACCAGCATCCAAATATGATATCCTATGCTGCTGACTGATTAATTTTTAACCACCCTGGCTATCTCGTGAAAGGCAGGCATTCTGGAAATACACAGGTATTTTTCATCTAGGTTTCTGCTTCTGTTTTTCCGATGTGAACTCATCTGTTCTGTTGTGATTAATAGGAAGGGTGTAAATGGACAACTTAAATCTAGACAGAGAATTTCATGCTGGTCAAAACAAGGTTTTATTCTATTTTTTCCACAGCCTCGAGGATTAGAATTGGAGGGGGAGAAAAAGCATTTCTATTAAAGAAGCCATTTTATCAAAAACTGGAGGAGGTTGAGTTCTGCTGCTCAGACTGCTTATAGCTATGGGATTTGTTTAATTTAGAGGAGGATCTTGACACTGAATCCTTTATAGAATATGGAGACATGGAGTCAGGCACTGTTTCAAATTCTCCCAGTGCTGCTGTTCCAGTTTGCTGGTCTTACCCACCCAGCAAGTTCATTAACTCAGGCTTGTCTTGCTCTCCTGAAAGTTTTCTTGAGAACTGTTGAAAGGTTTTGTATTTGTTCCACTGTGGAATGAAAATCAAGTGTCAAAATCATGACGCCTGGGGCTTAGGGGTTCTTTTCCCTTTAATGGAATAAGATGGCTGTTTTCGGTCTGCCTCCGTGTACTGAAATGACTCTCAATTCAAATTGCCTTAACCAAGAGGAAGATGATTTAGTTTGGGCATCTGTTCCCTGGGACCTGCAACCTGCCTGGCAAAGAAATATTGTCAGGTAGAGCTTGCCTCATTTAAATGCCATTATTCCAAGGACTTGCTCAATCTTTGTATCCTGAAGTGGGAGAGAGACCACAGAGAGTGGAAAGATGGATGGCAGGCTTGGATGAATGCCCCAGTTAGATTCTCTGTATTAGATTGTCGTGCTTTTCCTGGCCCAGACACTAACATCTAACACATTTTTAATACTATTGCCTGTTGAGATTCTATTAGAAAATGATTCAGAGTCTGGAAAGTTGGGAGGGTTGGGGGGAGGGAGGGGGCAATGAGGAATTAATTCCCTAGAAATAATACAGTCATTGTGTGTACACACAATCCAATATGTAACTCAGGTTTTTATAACCTCTCTGCCATCCTGTATGCTGGCTTTTTAAAATTGCAGTCACGCTCATTATAAAGTAAATGCCTAATGCGACTGATTCCCAAACAGTTTGTAATTTAGATTCCTACTGGAAATAAAAGTAATGACCTGCAATAGCTCATTAGTGGCCACGCAAAACGTTCGTTATTTCTTTTCTCTTTGTCTTCCTCCTGGT